CCCCCCCTCCTGGGTTCCACCCCCTGGTCCCACCCACCCCCCCGAGGGAGGCCGGGAAGCCCCGCCCGGTACTGGAGCGGAGGCAGCAGGTCCAGACACCTCCCACGCCCGGCCCGGGGACCCCCGGCGTCCCAGCGCCCCTGCGAGCACCTTTCTGCCCCTCCTCTCCCACCGCCCAGGACTGAGCGGGCTCACTGACGCGAGGACCCTAACTGGGGAGGCACAGGACCCTGTCCCTCAACCGCGCACGCCGCGGGACGCCCGGTCACCAGCGCCTCATCCAGGCGCAAGCGCCTCCGCCACCTGCTCGTCGTCGGTCGCCGTTCCCGCAGCCTTCTCTGGACCCTCAGGACCGTTTCCCGCCCCCGCAAGTCCAGACGTCACTGCCTGACGGAGGGGCGCCACTCCCCGCCCCCGCCCCCGAGAGACATGCCCCCAGGGCTTGGGGGGATGCCAGCCCAGGTGCGTGGGAGGGCGGAGGCGGGGGCACAGCGAGGAGACGGTGTGGCCGGGGCTCCGGAGCGGCTCTGCCCGCGCCGACCCCTTGCGGTTCAGTCCAGCCTGCCCTCCCCTCACCAGGTCCCAGCCAGGATGTCGGCCCCAGGCGGACCTGTCCCCGCTCTCCAGGTTCCCTCTCAGCCTCGTCCTGGAGCAGGTGGACCGCTAGATGTGGGCGCGGGAAGAGCTCAGAGGCCAGCGTGCCGGCCGAGGCGGCCGGGGGATTTCGCAGTTAGCCTCGGCAAGGCTGGGACGGGCGCCGGCGTGGATGGCGCTGGGAGATGGGCTCGCTGCGACTCTGGGCCCCGCCCGCGTGCCCCCTCGGGTGGCCCTCTCCGCGACCAGGCTGGCCTGGGCTTCCCCACTCACTCTGGCTCCGATGGAACCTGCCTGACAGCCCGCAGGTGAGGGCAGCCAGGGGCCACCTCGCCAGGCCAGGGAGACCTGGACACCCCCCTCCCTCCAGCCCCCCGCCAGGGTGCGGGCGAGGGCTTCCTCGCTCCAGCTAGTAGCTGCTGCAGCTGGGTTTCAAACTCCTCTCCACCTGCTTCCAGCTCTGGGCGCTGACCACGCCCTCACCCCCCCCCCCCCCCCCCCCGTTTGGGGAAAAACAGGCTTTGGAGAAACAGAGACCAGCTCCCTCTGGCCCGCCCTCGGGGATCTGACAGCGCTCTATGTCCCTGCGGAGAGCCGACACCCTGGAGTAGGGTCTCCCACAGCCCACTCACGGACGGACAGACAGACTGAGGCCACCAAGGGGCAGGCGTCACCAGGGTCACAGGGACCTGAGACCCAGACTCCGCGGGGCGTCTGGGCCACCTTGGCTTGTCACCTCCCAGGGGCAGATTCCTGGGCGTCGACCCGCCACGTAGGGGCGACAGGGAGGAAGGGTTGGAGCACTGGACCTTGGGTGGGTCTTGCCCTTCCCTCCTTCTGAGCACCCATACCAGACTCACTGTGTCTGCCCCGGGGAGCTGGTGACACCGTGGGGGACACTGGGGGAGAGGAGGGCTAGGCCACTTTGTCCTAGGTGCCTTTCTGCCCACCAGTTGCCCAGCGCCCCTCTCTCCCTTTTCTCGCCTTCTCAGCGGGGATAATGTTCGCTTGGGGGCCTACTCTTCCAGCAGGGGCACATGGGGACTGCCAAGGCGCAAACAGGAGGCCCTGCAAATGTTCTGTGAGGCCACTCCTGCCCTGGATTCCAGGCAGCTGAAGAGAGGTGACCGCCTCACCCCCCCCCCCCAACTCCCTGTCTTGGGTAGGAGGAGGTGGGAGAGCAGCTCCTGCCACCTGCCTTACCCACCTGTTTACTAATCCCGGCTCCTCCTCCCCTCACACACCTCTGCGCGTGCAGGAGGCCGGCTGTAGAAGTGAGCTGCAGTGACGCTTCTACAAGCAAGGGGACCACACGCCGCCTCTGTACTCAGGAATTTGTGCACAGGCTAGCGGCATCATCACCACCAGGAAGCTTGTTAGAAATGCAGGCTCTCGGGACCAGCAGTTGGCCTAATGGCTAGGGCACTGGACTCCCATGTAGTTGACCATGGTTTAAGTCCCAGACCCAGTGGCTTAAACTCACGCCGGGTGCATGTGCGTGCATGCCCAAGATCCCAAGAGGAGAATGGAGAAGGGATTGCAGCGTGGCCATCCCCCCAGGGGGTGATTTCTCGCTTTCTGCCTTTCTATCTCTCTGTCTTTCTGGCGAGTGCATGTGCCCTATAAAAAACCTCTCCAAAAAAATGCAGACGCTCCAGCCAGCAGTGGTGTGGTGGTTAGGGCTGCTGGATTCCAGGGTGGATTCCACCGGGTCGACTATGTGGGAGTCCAGCGGCATAACCATTACGCCATCTGCTGGACCCCTTCACTTATTTTCTGGGAGCTGCTGGCAACCTTTGGCATCGCTTTGTGGAAGCACCACGCCGACCGGCCTGCAACACCTGCACACGGCCTTCTCCCTGTGTGCATCTGGGGCCAAATCCCCTCCTTTCAAAGTGGGAGTCTTTCCCCCCTCTCTCTTTTCTTTCTCGCTAGAGGGTACATGTGCTCATCAGAGAGGGACAGAGACAGAGAGGGAAAGGAGAAAGCCCCCCCGGGGGCATGGTCACGCAGTCCCTTCTCTATCTCTCCCTCGGGTCAGGATTTTCACAGGTCTCAGCATGTTTCTCAAGCACCAGGTCCAGGACCTGCAGTTGGCTGTGTGGGATCAGCTGCCTTAACCAGCACGCCATGGGACAGGCCACAAGTCCACTAACTGCTGAAGGGGACCCTCGACAGGGCCCTTACGACACAGTCTGCTCCCAGCACTGTGGCCGCCCAGGGTCTCCAGTGCACCTGGCGTGTCCGGGTGGACCTGAGACTCCACTCGGAGCCTCCTCTTGGCCTCCGGGTAGTACGACAGCACCCTACCACCGGCATTGCCACGGCTTGGCCAAATCCTCTCTCTCTATTTTTTTTTTCCTTAAAAGATTTATTTCTGGGGGCAGGCAGGAGCCGTGGTGGTTGGGGGCGCTGGACTCCCACGTGGCAGACCATGGTTTTCATCTCAGACCTGGGGCTTGCTTTCTCACCCCACCCCACCCCCGCCTTTCTCTTGCTCACTCTGTCCCTCTTTGGTCAAATTAAATAAATAAAGTTAAATAAAATAATTATTTAAAAAAGATTTATTTCTGGGGCCAGCAGAAGGCACAGTGGTTATGTGGTTGGACTCCCACAGGCTGACCGCGGTTCGGGTCCCAGATCTGGTGGGTGTGTGTGCGTGTGTGCCCAAGGTCCTGCGAGGAGGATGGAGGAGAAGGGATTGCATCATGGCCGTCCCCCCTGGCGGGTGATTTCTCACTTTTCCTCTCTCTCTTTCTCTCTGGGGAGCACACATGCCCTAAGGCCAAATACTATTTGAAAAAAAAAAATAAAAAGGAAGAAAGATCAAAAGATTTATTTCTTTCCTCCTGAAGTGAGGGACAGAGACAGCACCCCCAGTTGAGCGAGCCACCCCCAGCCATAGGCAGCCCTGACCATGGGCACACAGGGAGGTCATTAGCGCACGCCTGGAACCTTCCATGTGTAAGCCTTGCAGGACGTCGTGTCCCACTGCCCTCCACCGTTCGACCCGCACCTCTCTCTCTGTGATTGCCAGAGGGGGGTGTGATTACCAGAGAGACACCGACCAGAGACAAAGGAGTGGGGGAAAGCTCACCTCCACGGGGTGTGGCCCTGCCGCCCTCCCACTCCACGGGCTCTCACGCTGCTCTCCTGCCCCCTGCACTCGCCTGGGTGGCCCCATTGCCCTCCTGGCTCCATCTCCAGGGTAGCTGGTGCCCGGTGGGACATCTGCTACTTTGACTCTGCCAGTGCCTGGCTGGGCTTCCCCAAGCCCTTCGTGCATAGGGTGCCAGAGGGGCTCTTCACAGACTGGGAAAGAGGTGGGCAGAGCGGCATCGCTAGTGGGCGCCCGGCTTCTTCTGCTTCTTTTTTTGGTCACACGGCCCATGCCATCACTGGAGGGAGAGAGAGATCACCCTCCCCCCAGGGGGAACAGCCACGCTGCAATCCCCTCTCCTCTATTCTCCTCTTGGGATTGTGGGCACGCACACACGTGCCTGGCATGTCTTTCAAGCCAGGTCCAGGACTGGAACCATGCAGTCAGCCATATGGGATCCAGATGCCTTAACCACCATGCCAGGGGGCTCCCCGGTCCCCGGGGCTGTCAGGGTGAAGAATGCTCTGGAACAGCCAGTGGTACACAGCCCTGTGAATGCACAAAGCGCCGTGGGCCCGCTCACCACAGGTGGACACGCAAGGGGTGCATGCTCCGTGAAGCTGTCATATGAAGGCACACTGGGCGGGAGGTGCACATCTGACAGACACAGGGACGGGCTGGGCCAGTGAGGATGACTCGGGTTTCTGCTTGTGCAGTGTGGCCACCAGAGAACAGAAATGTCCTTGAGGCCCTGGGGCCAGCCCAGGGACAGCTGCACGCCTGGGTCTAGTCTGCAGAGGAGAGGGCCAGGTGTGGACCCCCAAGAGCACAGAAAGGGCTGAGGTCCAGCCCCAGAACACCACCCACTGCAGGTGGCGGGGACCAGAGGAGCCGCAGGAAGGCAGGAGAGCTCTGCTGGGAGGGACCAGGAGGGCAGCGCTGCCCAAGGGGCAATCCGAGATGCACCTGCTGGCCTTTGTGACAAGGAGGTCCTGGTGCCACCCTGGGGTGCTGTCTTGACAGAGGAGCTGGGACAGGACACTGGGCAGGGACTGACGGTGTTTCCATGGAAACAGGACTGGGGGCGAGGGGCTCCTAGAGGTGGTCACTGTGCATTTTCAGAGTCTGAGTCTCCCATTTGACTTCTGGGGAGTTCTGCATCTTAAGCATCATGAGATACCGAGGGGCACAGACTCGCATCAGTGGCGCGAGGTGAAGATGTCAGGAAGTAGGGTTTGGGGCTAGCAGGTGGCATGGTTTAGGTGCTGGGCTGCCACGTGGATGAGCACGGTTTGAGTCCTGGACCTGGCAGCTTGTTTTCTCACTTTCCCTCTTTATCACTCTCAGGAGCGGGTGCATGCCCTGTAGCAAATGAAAATAATAATAATAAAGTTAAATAAATAAATATCTTTTAAAAAAATCAATAAAATTGGGACCAGCAGATGGCATAATGGTTACGTCGCTGGACTCCCACATAATCGACCGCGGTTCAAGTCCCAGACTGGCTGGCGGCTTCAAACTCACGCCGGGTGCGTGTGCATGTATCCCCAGAGTCCAGAGAGAACAGAGGAGAAGGGATTGCGGCGTGGCCATACCCCCGGGAGGGTGATTTCTCACTTTCTGTCTGTCTCTCTCCAGTGAGCGCACGTGTCCAGGGCAAAAATCTCTAAAGAAAAATTAATAAATAAAATAAAACAGAGTTTATTGGGGCGGCGTGTGGAGCCAGGGCAGGGAAGGAGGACGGCCCCCACTTTGGGTTTGCTGTGCTGCTGCCATCGTAGAGGCCTGGGTGGGAGGCTGCATGCTCCACGCCAGCCTTTCCTGGAGGGGCCCACCTGGAGGCGGGAGCTGTGACTGGGGGCTGGGGCGTATGGACTTAGAGGGGGCTTCGAGCTTGGGGACAGCTTCTTTGGCTGAGCGGTCTGTGGGGCAGAGGCGGAGGCCTGCAACAGCCGAGGTCAACTGCAGTGTCCAAATTCACGCCTGTCGGGGAGCCCCCTTGCTCGTGGCCCCCCATGCCTGCACAGGACAGCGTGGCCTCGTCAGCAACGTGGATGTCTGTGACGTCGCGCCTCGTGCTGACTTTTGGCTCCCCAGAACCCAGTCGAGGTGAGGGCGTGTGGGGTGAGGGTGGCCGCACTGCCTGGAGAGGCGGCACCGGCAGCGGCGGCGGCTGTGGCTGCAGGCCTGGCCTCTCACCGACCCCCAAGCCCTGTCAGCCGGGGCCTCGCTCCCAGCAGGTGCCTTCCTCAGCTGTCACCGCCCCATGGCCGAGCTCGGTGGTTCCTCGCAGGTGGACGGGGTGGACGGGGTGCTGCTGTCTGTTCCCACTGGGACTTGACCCCGAGGCCCAGCCGTGGCGGCGGGGCTCGGTGCCTCGTGGTGGAGGACCTGCTCCCGACCCCCGCTGCGCTGAGCTGCGCTGTGTCCCTTACTGAGGGCCTCGCCTGAGTGACGGGCGTCCCCGGGGCACTGATAACACCTTGGCTGAGGGTGGCCGGTTTCTGCAGGAGCGAGGACGTCCGGCTCAGAGGACTCTGCCCTGGCTGTCCCCTCCCCGGTCCTCAGGAGGCGCTGCAGCCGCCTGTCCTAATGGGACGAGCTGAACTTTCACCCCGCCGCCACCCCCGCTCTCCACGTCTCCACAGCACCCACAGTGTCATCCAGTTCGGGCGCATGGCCAGCCAGGTGACTGAAAAAAAAAGGGGGGGCGGTCTTCCTCCCCAACGTCGTGTGGGCCCCCCCGTGCGTGAGCCACCCGGCAGCCGCGTCACCAGGCGCAGACGCCCCGATTTCCCACTCTCCTTTCTTGCCGGCCAGTGCAGGGAGAGCTAGTTCTTGGCGGCCGCTTCGGGGCCTCCACAGCCGGGTCCTCCTGAGTCTTGGTGCCCTGGGACACGTGCTTCAGGGCATTTGAGCCCGGTGGCGAGGCAGCAGCTGGGGCTGGGACACTGTGGCCGACCTGCCAAGTCTGGCAGGAATATTGTAGAGGGCGGTGGGCCACCCCAGGCCGAGGCTGCAGCAGCTGCGCGGGGGGCAGAGACAGAGGAAGAGGAGGGCGGGCCGCGGACAGGGCCACCAGCGCCCGAGGGCAGCCGCTCCCAGGCCAGCAGCTGCTGGTGGCGGCCACTAGGCTTCCTTCCCACGTGTCGGCACCTACCGTGGCAGGTCCAAGAAGTGCCAAGCTCTCCGGGCTGGCGGGAGAGAGGCCGTGGGCAGCCACCACGCAGCCACGAGCCGTGCACACAGACCCTCGGCCCTCGAGGAGCGCAGGCGTGGGTAAGCAGCCGGCGGGCAGGAGCGTGTGGACGGAGCTGCCGGCTGACTACAGGAGTCACACCCCGGCGGCGTACGGGGAAGAACCCAGCTGGTCCCCAGTTCGGGCCCCACGACCTCACCGCAGGTCTCAAATCTTTCCCTTGTTCTTTTCTTTTTAAGGATTATTTAATTTGATTTATCATTACCGTTTTGCTTTGTTTAACTTGCTACAGGACACATGTGTTCACCAGAGATAGAGAAAGAGCATCCACCAGTCCAGGACTCAAACTGCGGGTTGGCCACAGGGGAGTCCAGCACCTTAACCACCACGCCACCTGCCAGCTCCAGACTTTGTAATGTAAATCCCCCGCTCAGCTCTGCTTCCCTGCTTCCCTGCACCAGGCTGTGCTGTACCTCCACTTCCATTCCTTTCCAAATATTTTCTAGTTTTCCCTCATGATATCTTGTTTGATAAATTTAAAAATTATTTATTTTTATTTATTATTATTCTTCAATTTGACCGTAGAGAGACAAGGAGAAGTGCGAGAAAGCAAGCTGCCAGGCCCAGGACTCAGACTGTGGTCAGCTCCGTGGGAGTCCAGGGCCTTAACCCCCACGCCGCCTGCCGGCCCTGACTCGGTGTTTCAGGGGTATGTCGTTTAATTTCCGCATGTTTGTGAGCTTCCCCGTCTCTTCATTGAGTCTCGACTTCACTCCGTGCGGTCAGAGACACTCTCTTCCAAGCCTTTCGGGTTGAAGAGCCTTGCTGCAGTCTAGCCGAGGCCTCCCCACGGCAGCGGCTTCCTGTGTGCCGCCTCCTCTTGGGTTGGGGCTCTTCTTGGCGGGGAGCTGGCAGTTGCCAAGGCAGCCCTGAGGAGAGGGCCTCCAGCCCCCCAGAACCCCCCGCCCTGTGAGCGAGCAAGCGGCTGAGGAGTGGATCCCGCTTCCCCTGTGCCTCAGCGTCGCCTGGGGATGACTAGCCGCGAGTCAGCCGCCAGTCACCCTGAGTCAGAACCCCCAGCCCAACCCCTCCTACGGTTCTGGCCCACAAAGCTGTGGAGACAGTGGACAGTTGTTGGTTTAAGCCACTAAGTTTGGGGACGGGTGGGACACGGCATGAAGTGGCGAGCAATCACCCGTGCGTCTGCGGGCTCTCTGGAGAACAAGTCTTGAAGCACAGTTGCACCTTGGGCTGAAGTTTTATCTTTTCTGGGGAAAAACAGAAAACATTAACAACGTGAGTCAGTAATTGTTTCAGACGCTCACAGAAGCGAGGACACACCACTTGTGATCGTAACACCACGCCCGCGAGCGTGAGCCCAGGTGGACACTGCTGGGGTGTCATAGGCAAGTCCGGTTTGTCCGTTTCTTTTTTAAGGTGTTGCCGTCGGGTGTGTGCGTTGCTGGAGGAAACAGACGGCGAGACGGGAAGTGAGAAATCAGCTTCCCGGGGGCATGGCCACTGCAATCCCTTCTCCATTCTCTTCCTGGGGTTTTGGGCACACGTGCACATGCGGCTGCGGCCTGCAGCTCTTGGTAGCCCCGGCTCCCTCTGGGTCTGCACCTGGCTCCTCCTGCTGCGCTGGGCTGGGGAGCCGCTCCCGCTGCCGCAGGGCCTCCAGGGCCCGCAGATCGGGCGGGTGGCAGTGGTCGCGCATCACCATCACCCTCTGGCCCTGGGTGATGGCGCGGCTGCGGCAGCCCAGACGGGCCTGGTCCCGGCACATCCAGTACACCTTCTCCCCGGCCGCCTTCTCCTTCCTGTAGAGGAAGCACTCGTGCACCAGGAACCTGCCCCCGAGGGACGTCCTCAGGAACTCCAGGGGCTGGAGGGGTCCTGCGCGGAAAGTGCCACCGTGAGTGGGCGGCTGGTGCCCAGCGACTAGGGCACTGAGCTGGGGTGCGCGCACGGGATTCCTTTTGTCTCACCCCTAGCCCCGGCCAGGAACCACCACCCCCAGCTGGACACACACTGGTTCCCACCCTCTGCCCTCTGCCTGCTCCTCAGAGCCTTGGGGACAGACGCTCAGGCCCTAGCCCAGGCGGCAGTGGCTGCTTCCGGCTTCTCTGGCCTCTTTTTGAGCCAGCCCCCTCACCTTCACCCTGCTGCCCTGCCACCCTTGAGTCCAGACTGGCTGTCCCTTTCCCAGGGAGCCAGAGCTGCCCAGAAAGGTGGCCCCACAGCTGCCCGGGCTCCCAGCCCTCCTGGAGGCTTCTCCTGACCCCCTGGACCCCATGAGTCCTGGGGGGCAGAGGCGGGCCTAGGCCATTTGGGAAGCCCACAGCTGGCCGGGCTGGGCACAGGGCCGCCTGGCTGCCAGTACATGCCTGTGGCAGCTGACAGCCGCCAGCCCCTGTCCGAACAGCCAAGCTGAACAGCTATGTGGGGCTGGGTTCAGGGTGACCCAGCAGATGAGCTGGGGTGGGGCAGGAAGACAGAGGAACACGAACGCAAGAGACCCAGAAAGGGCACAGGGGTCCCAGGTCCGGGGGTGGTGGCGATGCTGGCCTCACTCCTCTAGAGGGCTGAGTGACCGCCCCTGCTGACACCCAGTCCCAGACAGGGCCCGGGCTGCGAGCCCAGGGAGCTCAGAGCCATGGTGGATGCACCCACAGGCGTGGCCTGGCAGCCCTCTGTGCCGGGCTCAGGTCCTGCAGGCTGGTGGAAGCAGGCTGCTCAGGGCCTGCGCCCACCCACCCCTGCCTACCCCTGCCTCACCTGGAGATCAGGGCCTGCCCTCACCCACCCCTGCCTACCCCTGCCTCACCTGGGCCCTCCCACTGAGCCAGGCTGGGGAGCCGTTCCCGCTGCCGCAGGGTCTCCAGGGCCCCCAGGTCGGGCGGGTGGCAGTGGCCGCGCATCACCATCACCCGCCGGCCCCGGGGGGTGGCGCGGCGCGCG